CTCATAGACTTCTATACAACCAGAGGAGTCGCCCCCTGGTGGACAAAAGATTAAGTAAACTAAGTCCAGTGAGACGTAACTTTAGTCAAAAACAAAACAAGTTAAACTGAGCTGCAAACAGTGAGCAGTTACAGAGTGAACAGATGGAAGTGTGTGTGTGTGAGAGAGAGATGGAGTGTTAATGAGTCAGTCTGTTGAGTGTTACGATCTCTTCTGTGTGTAAAACAGGAAGTAGAGACTGTCTCCAGATGTGAGCGATGAAGAGGAGGAAGAGGAGCGTCTCACCTGTCGATCAGAGAGTCCCTCATGCTGGTGGCGATGGCGGACGGCTGAGCCGAGTCACTGAGCCTGAAGACGCTCTCGATGACGGACAGCTCGGTGCTCGTGGTGTCCAGACCGCAGAACGCACACCAGTCGTTGACCACCATCCCGCCAGCGATGACCTCACTGCCCCGGTTCACCGTGCCGGCCTGGACAGGAAGTGAGCTTTAGGGTTAACTCACACACAGACGGTATGCTGTGAGCTCTAACAGCAGCCATGGTGTTTGTTTACGTTCATCGTGATAATGTAGGGGGCGTGTCTAGGGGCGTGTCTTTGGAGGTGTGAGGTGACGGACTGTTTTTAAGTGAAGGAAACAGTTCTTGCTGCGTTCTGATTGGTGGATGATGAACTCACCACCAGAGGAACCTGCAGCAGAGACGACAGCTCGTCCTGGTCCTCTATGGACGTCTTCGGGTGGACGAGGCCGCCCTGGTTGCTGAACGTGCTGTAGGAGCCGACCAGGACCTGCTCAGCTACCGTCTGACGGAAAACCTCCACCTTCATGGTGTCAGCGAGGATCTCCTCCGTCTCCTGAGAGAGAGAGAGACAGAGGGAGAGACAGACGGAGAGAGAGAGTTCAATAAGGAACTGAACCAATAAGCAGTATAGATACGAGTACTAGTGTGGATAAAATAGTTTAGGGCTTGATACGCTCCGTAGTTCAGACTCCGACTACACAGATAACTTATTAGTATTATAACAGTGAGTGTGTGTGTCTCACCCGGTCGAGGTCGGGGTGGACCAGAGCCACGTAGTCGTTGCAGGCGATGACGTTGCCGAGAGCAGACAGCCGCTCCTCCACCCTCTGGATCCTCACGGCGTCTGGGAGGCAGTTCTTGATGTGCTGCAGCTCCTGGTCCGTGGTGTTGTTGGGCACCATGAGGCCGTGACGGTTACCTGAGGAGCAGCAACACACACACTTAAACACACTCGTCGGGGTAGATACTGTCACGTTATAACAGCCGTTAGTTCACGGTGGATGAGGAGAGGAGACAAAGTGAGGAAAGATTCAAATCAAAAGATGAAAGAAAAGTGTTGTTGTAAAGGATCGTGTGTGTGTGTGTGTGTGTGTGTGTGTGTGTGTGTGTGAGTGTGAGAGAGAGACATCACTACTCACCCACACACATCCTCCCGATGATGCGACAGCCTGCGATGGAGGCGTGGACCACCGGGATGGTTTCTGACAGCTCCCCCTCGAACACACTGCATCACAAACACACATCGTCACTTCCTGTTCTTCAGTGAGTCGGCCGTCGGTGCACCGCTCCACCAACAGAGGACAGAGTCACAGGAACCCTCTCACAGCTGGGTTCACTAAACTGGTGTTTATCAATCACTTTAAAATGTTGAGATTACAGTTGTGACGGCCCAGGGCCTCTGGCAGGGAGTGTCTATCTTTCAGTGTTCCTGGATCGTTAGAGGGACATCAGGAAGATTGGAGGCAGCTGGCCACGGCCGTCGCCCTACAAGACCCGCCCCATCCGGAGGAAGTGCTGGCCTTCTTCCCCTCTGACACACCTGGTGTGCTACAAGGAGTGTCTGGCAGCAGCAGTCAAACCGTCTGGCATTCTACGAGAATGCTCTTCTGTGTTGCAATTGGAAATGTCCTGACCTTTTGTTCATAAAGGTATTTCTTTGTTTAGCTCCCTGCCTGAGTTTTCGTGACGTTTTGCTGTGGTTCCAGAGCCGGACCACAACACAGTAAACAGTAAACAGTAAGATGCTGAATGTCTAGTTGGATCCTCATGATCGTGTAAATCGATGAAGTGATCTGTCCGGTGAAGAAGGAAACTTTAAGTTGTCGTATTTGTAGATGAGCTTTGGTGCGACTGCTTTAATTCTTACCGAGACGTTAACGTTACTTAATGTTTGTTACATTAATTAAAGATATATTACCTGCAATTAAAGCGTTGGAGATGATTTTTAAAATAAGTATTCTGTACGTTTGCTAACTAATAACAATATAAAACACAATCATAACATAATGTTTACAGAGCGGGAACATTACTGATGTCTATATTTGGGATTAAAACTAACAACCTTAAGTTTGACGTTTCTGTAATTCTTTGGCAAACAAACGCATTCAAAGCAATAATAATAATTTGCATTAAGCAGATTCATCATCTCACTCTAAATATGAATGATTGTCTCGTGTTAGTCTGTAATAAAACATCAATCAGCTTTCAGTTTGGAGTTTAGTTTATTCTTTGGTTGAGAGACTTCAACACATCCTGAGAGTTGATAATATGAAGATCTCAGTCTGAATGATGGAGGTCTGACATATTAAATATTATATTCACCATTTACATTTATAATTTACAACCATTGTAATAATAATGAGTTTGTGAGAATAAACACCACAAAGCTACAACCTGTTTGTTTCCATCAGAGAAACGGTCCAAAGTTCCACCTGTAATATTAATAACAGTTCTAACTCTGGACCAACCTTCTGTTCCTACTGTGAAGAAGAAGAGAAGAAGAGAAGAAGAGCTTTGATGAACTTACAGCTCTAAACTGTTTTATTGTGAAACAGGAAGTTGTTCATAGGGCTCACGGATACGGCCAAAAATCTTCCATCCTGACAAAGAAATTCATATCTCGATAAAGACACAGAACGATGTAGCATGTTTCAATAAATATATATTTCATATGAACAACAACATGGTAAAGCCTATTAATTATATATTTAGCGTGAATTAAATACTTGGTTATTTCTCTCTCATTAAGACCTTTAGCTCTTCAGGTTCCTTTCAGTTCTGCTCACATTTTGATGCTAAACTTCCCGTTTCTTGGACCGATGATGATTTATTCTCTTTTTATTCAGCTTGTTGCTCAGAAGATCTTTTGTCGGTTTGGTTGAACCATTGCTCATCATTTTGTTCTCCATCCACCAAACTGTATAACATCTAATTCATTATTCTACAAACTAAAAGCACGAAAAGACCCGTCAGACGAACAGATTACTGACTTGTGTGTTCACGTGTACTTTCAACTTCACACACATCATCATCTCACATGAAGTAAAACTGCACAGATTGACCTTTGATGACGTCACAGCCGTTGAAGCTAACTTTAGCCGCCATGCTAACGTGACACAAACCGGGTGAATGCAGCCGGCTGATCTAAATCAAACTACGTGTAATAAAACAGTGTTCACCTGTAGAAGTTCTCCGAGCCGCCGACCGCCACCAGACAGTACGTGTTGGTCAGTTTGGCGAAACAGCCGATCTCGTTGTTCTTCTCAAACGATGCTCTGACGGCCATGATGACGAAGAGGAGGAGGGTTAGCTTGTGATCCTGGAACAACAACACATGTTTTAATAAAATTAAAAACACACACACACACACACACACACACACACACACGAGCTGCTAGGAGTCACGTTATATACGTTAGTGTTGATTCAATAATCACCAGTTTAGCGGCTGTGCTATTTGAGCCGCTGTGTGAGTTTAACTGGTGATGATGAACTGGTTTATGTTGGAGTGCGTGAGACAGATGTGTGGAGGAGTGGCCTTCAGGACCCACACCGAATAAACAGGAAATAAACACGTCGATCGCTTCTCCTCTTTCAGTTTCTATGATTTCTTATTAAAGAATATAAACGAAACAGTTTGCTGGAAAATCCACCACTCGTTAGTGAGGCTGTGGACGAGATTGGGAGGACACAGTTGGTGGTAGATGTCGATGCCTGTTCAAAATACTTATCATAGGATAAGTATTTGAGACCCGTCTATGCATTCATACAGCCTGTGAGTTAAACATACATACATACATACATACATACATACATACACAGTTGTGTGAGAAAGTGTTTGCCCCCTTCCTGATTTCTTATTTTTTTGCATGTTTGTCACACTTAAATGTTTCAGATCATCAAACAAATTTAAATATTAGACAAAGATAACA